GAGCTCGTAAAGTCGACAGTAATGACAGAGACGGTGATCAATGTGCTTGTCAACATCCCTGTCTATCACACGATGGGACTACATGAAGTTTATCGAGCGATTTCCCTTCCTCAGCCGGCAGATGGAGGAAATACAGCGACTCAATACAGGTTCTCACGCACGCACTTTTTAGTATCGGAGCGTCGCGACAATTTTGCGGAGGTTTCGGGGGACGTCATTGCGGCACACTGCAGTGGGAGCAATCGCCTCAAGCTTTGCCTGAGACCATTTGCTATGTCCCGTGGTAGCAAGTCTTCGTGTCTGGCTAGTCTTTTCTTCGACCTGCCAACGACTGAGTTGAGATTGTGCCCTCAGGAGGTAATAGTCTTGCCCGAGACTCCTACGGCCACGTATCTGGAAGATTCTACGTACTTGGTTACTTCACGGGACGACGACCACAGGCTGTTCAACTACAGTAGAGGGGCTAAATAAAGTGGCCAGCCAATAGCGGGCTGTCAGAGCTGCCTTCTCCGACCGAGTTGCGCCGGCCGAATCGAAACACCAGACGGTGCTTGGGTGCTGGTACCCGACCCGAGAACTTGCCATAACACTACGGGTATAATCATTACCATTAAGCAGCATCCCCTCATCCAAACCCTGTTTGCCACCCTGGAGGAAGCAGAGAGAAATCTTCCCGGCGTGGTGATACCGGCAGTTCTACGCGAACAAGCACGGAGCGAGATTGTCGAAGCACTCCGTCTCAACTTGATCAAGTTACCGGAAGGATCTGTGGACGAGGATGTTTTGGCTGAAATTACCAAACCCTTCGCGGAGGAAATTTTGCGGAAGCACACTCCTTTCCATTGGCAGATGCTACGTAGCAGACATGTGCGCAACGGGGTCGTGATATGGGTTCTGGTAACCACCCTGGCAATCTTTGCATGTGTCTACTGGCAATGCTTCTCAAAGAATAGTCAATATGCGCAAGTACTATACATGGGACGACGAGACGAGGATCCCGAGCGTTCGAATTGCTGCGGGCTAATGATGCGCGAATCACGACAGCTCTTGCCACCGAAATACGACCCTCCCTATGACAGAGGGGCACCCAAATTTTTAGCATTATTTGGGAGAATAATAGAATAGAAGGGAAGACTGTAGAATTGGTGATTCTAATGTAATACATGCTATAGTAGCGTGAGCGTAAGATTGATTCGTCATTAAGTTAAGTAGTACAGCAAACAAAGGATAAAAGTTCGAAATAGTTGAATCTTCAAAGATATAGTCCCTCTTATGGCAGAAAACTCAGGTGAAGTAAAATCGGCGGACCCCCCCCCCCCAAATGGGAACTTCAGTTTTCAGTGGCTAGGTTTATGAAACTCAAAGGACGGATACTAAAAATGATTTGACCCGGGCATGCAAAAATCCATAACCCCCGGACCCCGCGGCGCCAAGTGCTAACGGTCCCCGGAAGTGTAAATTGCCCTATCAGTCTAGGTAACTAGCGGTCGGAATACAACCAAAACATAGTATGTTATAGGCCTAGTTAAGGGAAGCTTAAGTTTGGAAACCCAGACCCCTCAGATCCCCACTTCCGGTTTTATGTCCTAAGTAAACAAACCACCCCTAACTTCCAGAAATCGTTTCTCGGCCTCCAATGATTGCAGGGAGCTGAAACTTAGAGGGATGATAGGTAGTGGCAAGATACATCTTGTATTTTAATTTGAACCAAATCTGGCGGTTGGACCCGAAGCTATTAACACTTGGAAAAACACCCCCTTAGACGGGAAATAGGCAATTTACGTAAAATATTGAGCGAGGGCATACCGATTTTATTGCGGCAATGGACATAAGATACGGACCCCGAAAAAAGACTCCTTGTGATTGAAACCCCTCCGGTGACTCCTTCCGGTTTTAATAGCTTTTCCCCGGGAAAAGTGATAACGAAATTTAGAAATGGGATAACTTGGGAAGTATTAACGGTATATGGATGAAACATGATAGTTAGGACCCCCATGGGATTCCGAACCCAAATATGGAAGTTTGACCCCGGTTGACCTCTGGGTGACCTCAAGACGACCTTTGGACTTTTTGACCTCAAAATTGTATGGAAAGCCCCAATATTAACACCGGAAACCCCTGGAAACACCGTATTTCCCAGCCCAATCCCTGGAAAGGAGAAAAAAAATGGGTCACTTTGCTAAAAATTGGGGGAAAAACTTATATATTGGGAATAGAGCAGAAGCTGATAGAGATATATCTTTTACATTGCAACCTTGGAGTAGAGGATTTAATTTAAAGTGGACTTGCAAAACATTGTGTTCAATTTAGCTTGGCGAATGCGCTATTAATAGAATATCAATCAGGGTAAAAGAAAAGTAGTCCCAGAGGAAATTGGTAGTAATAGAGGCATAGCATGAGAGTTAAGTTTCCTAAATAGTATGAATGGACGGGAAATTTACTTGGCTCTCCAGAGGTGACTTTTTGGTTTAATTTGACCCCTAACAGACGAACTACGTTCCCCTGATAGCAAGAAGGTCGGGATTGGAATAGAGTACGGATAGAAAACTTAGATGCCTGAAATGAATTAGCTACCCATAAAAAAGGTCTCCCCCTACCCTTGGGAGGCCGGAACGTTAACGGGATAATTAAAATAAAGACCTTGAAAGGATTACTGAGTAAACAGAGCATGGTTTGGAGGTTGAGTTGAACTCGAGAGCTGAAGTTCCAAGAGTTCAGGAATTGGTTGATAAAAATCGTATGACATTTGTTTGCTTGGTCAACAGGGTATCTAATAGGCGTGAAAAGATTGATAAAAGGAACCGAAGTTGGCACGTGGCAGAAGTGATAGGGGAGGGATATAGCCTTAAAACATGTGCGGTCGGGTGATTTAGGCGGATGTCAGGACTAATAGGGAGTGGCGTGACTTAAACAAAACTAAGTGCAAAGAAAGATAAGGATTTGGAGGGTACCGGTGAGCCTTTAAGAACCAGAGAAATAATTGCGAGCAAAGCAAATAGTTGATTCTCAGTGGGTTAGAGAGAACAATTGTGAGACTTATAGAATTCAGACGGGTCCTGAGAAAGACTCGTGAAATTTTAAAGTGAGTTCTCGACGCGAGATTTTTAGTGAAGCTTTCTGAAGCAAAGTTGAAGAGTTGCTTAGAATTGTTTGTAAAGTGAACTGCAAGAGGCAGCTTTCTGGAACTTATCGCAGATTAAATTCCTTGATACTTAATAAATTGTATTCAGGCCACTTAGCGGCCCTTATACTCAGCAATTTATATATTTATTTCTGAATTCAATTACTATCCAGTTTCTGGCGATTCTTTTCGAGGAAGAGAACAGTCGAGAGCAACAGTGTAGTACATCGATCGACAACCAAATTCAACCTTTCAACCGAAGGGATTGTCATCAAATACCGGATCACAGCTCACCCCTTGCTGGTTCTGGTATTTAGGGAAGGGACTTAGCGGACTATATAGAAGGGATATATTGGGTCTAAACAGTCAGATTCTCCAAGACGACACATTTTAAGATTAACCAACTGCCAAAATATGTCAGCCCTAGCTGACTTTATTTAATGTAACCAATCCTGTTTATGAAATTGATGATGATCTAATGTCGAATGCATTTTGTCTAAAAAAGATGCCAAAAACGGGAACGTTTGAGTGAACTAGATTTTTTCTCCTATATCAGTTTTTGAATTTATAATCATTTTTCTCACCGATGCAAAGTTATCAATACCGACTAATTTTAAGAAAATATGTCGCTCATATCGCAGCAAATGCGTTCAAGTTACTCTTTTGCCCCGCTCTGATCCAACGCAAGCAGTTCTAAGGCAGTCAAAACAACTCTAAAATTTGGATCTTTCCCGGGTCGAGGTTTGCAATATATGTTTCGACCTAGGCGGGTCAAACACATGCCAGATTTAGACCAAAAGACCATAGTCGAGAAGGCACTCTAATCGACCACAAAGTCGAAACATAAGGTCGAGTCGGTCGAAGCTTAAAGTCGAGTACAAAATGGAAACATAACGCCGAACGCAAAGTCGAAATATAAAGTCGAACACAAAGATTCAAACAACCTCAAAAATATCCTATCAAGGATAAAATTATTGAGATTTTTTGCTGAAAATTGAATGCAACTTTTTAAAATTTGCTTCAACGACCATTACTAATTGGGAGTTTTTTGCAGTTTGCTATAACACTTGTGGGACGTTGTTTTTGCCTGGTTTTTCACCATACCATGTTTTTAAAACAAGCGCCAGGCACAGTGTCATCTTTGGTCTGGAAGTCATAGAACAAACATATGGCTGCCTCCAATTTTGACGGCCGACCGCAAATAAAAATATGTTGCATTATAAAACTCTAATAGTCTTATACTTTCGTCAATTTTGAATTAGTACTGTTACTGTTCCGACCACTTCAAGAGAAGGGAAACAACTGTCAATGTTCGATATTTTAACGCAATTTCAAGAACCTCAAAAAAGCTTGAAGGTGATCTAGCGTAGAATTTTTTTGTTGGTCTCAAAGTAGTGGGTCAGGTTCTGAACACTTTTTTCAAAAATATGTTTCATGAACTATCCGTTTGTCGAAAAAAAACAGACCTGATGGTTTAAACTCTGAATAATTTGCAGGCGCTAGAAGCAATTTGTGGCTAGTGTTTTCGTAAAACTTCGACTTTTGTGGGCGTCTTTAAACTACATCTGGAATAGCAAATTCCATTCACAGCTCTAAGGATTTTATGGCGCAGCTGAGTCCGACTCGACTATTTTTCCAGACGTTTGTTCCAGCATTTCTTTGGGTCCGATTGTCATAAAAAACTGGATTTATTGATGCATGACTATGTTACGGCAACAATGATTAATATCAATCGGTTTATCTTTAAATGGAAAATACCGAAGATGAAAACGATATAATATTACCGCCAGTTAATTTTGCTTTCTAAATTTGTCTCGCTTGAAATATACAAAACAGGACACAGGCAATAAACGATGAAGTTTTATTGCGTCCGCGTGAACAAAGAAACCAGCTGGCATGAAATGGTACGAATAATAGCTGACAGGTGCTTTGAATATGTTTTTACAAAATTTTCCTCGCAATTTATATTCTTCAGTCAGTTCTCCTATTTTTCCTCCGAATTACAGCGTATTTTCAAACTTTTCAGTTCTGATTCTATCTTATGTCTGAAACATAAAATATAATTGACCCAGGGGTTAAGTAAACATATTGACAAGATGTTTGGCTCGAAATATATTTTGGTGGCTTTAACACTACAGGTAGCTATGTTTATAAAACTTTTTGTCAAACTTATTATAGTTCTTGCGCTTAGGGTTTGAAGCTCTGCCAAAAACCTTAAGCAATCAATGTTAACGATATTTTCTGAGTATCAATAAAAAATATCAATAAAATAGAAAAACTTTTGAAAATAGCTATTTTCAGCATTGTTTGGAAAATTGTAGTGTAAGTCGGTCAAAATCTGAGGCCGCAAAATAAGACCGTTTGATGTACAGGGGGTTAAATTTCTAAGGACGTTGAATTGTACTGCCGTCCTCCTCTTATTTCGTCAGTGGCTGGGTCTCTAGCTATGAGTCATAAATAGAAAAAATCTTTTTCGGTCTTTTTATTGTAGATGCAAACATGTTTGTTCAGGTGTTAAGTGTCCTCGACTTGGTGGTCAATGGTCAGTTCACAGAACAGTGTCCCGATACAGAAGTTGTGCAGGCTACAACTGTCGGTCAGTTCCAGCTAACCCCCTGCACACTCCAGTTCCAATCGCATTCATCATTAATCCCACCGTTCATCCACCATTTGTGTTAAATTAATTCGAAAAATACTTTTTAAAAAAGGAAGGATTGAATACATCCGACCCTCCAAACAAACACTCAGATCTGCCCCTGATTAAGACGTGGACCTATTTTTTTGCTGGATATTTTTCTGGAACAGGTACAGATCAATAGTGCCTGTGAGGGAAATCAATAGCGCTTCAAGGTGGGTAAAAAGCATCAAAACGGCAGTCGCAGTTGACAGCTTGCAACTGAGCAGTGCCACGAATCTCTTTGTTTAATAAGCTTGAAATTATTATGACTTTTAGATCCAAAAACTCAGTCTTAAATACTTTAGCCTGTTCTGGGAATGCGGACTGTTGGACTGTGCACTCCGATGCAGGTACCTGCGTGGTCGTGCAGGGAAGCGAAAACTGCTACTGTTCCACAAACAAATTCGGATACGCACTGAACCAGACAACCCAAAAGTGTGATCTACGTAAGTTCTAAAAACTTTTGGTACAAGTATTATAGTTGGGTCCCAGAAAAAGACAAAAGTATGAGAGATGGGTCCCGCAAATTTTGAGAAAACTTCAAAACACAAGTAAACAAATGCGAACCATGTTTTTTGAAAACTCTAAGGCCTGAAAATGGTTCTTCAAGGACCCAACTATCATACTTGTATTAAATTTTCATGCAATACGTACGAATAAACGCCAAAGTTTTTGCGGCGCGCTCAGTAAATTGTGGTGTGACCAATTACCAGATCATTAAACGGTAGTCTGTAACAATAACTTGATTTGGGTGTATTGAATTATTTAATCATTTAATTGGTTTTTCCTGAGGTGGAACAGCTTTGAATCAGTTTGTATTCATGCCGACACCATGTTTTTTCTGTTTTTGTTTGCAGTTTTGGTGTTTTTAGAAATTGACGAATGTGCATGTGGCTACTCTGGATGTCTGCATCAATGCACTGATTTGGACCCAGCAACTGACTCGACAAACAGACGATTTGTATGCTCATGCAATGTTGGATACGACCTGCTAAACGACTTCAACTGCATTGGTTGGCTCAAATTTCTGTTTGAAATCCAGTTTTATAAATTGATAGTTTTTTTTTCTGGGTAAACTTAATGTGATTCGAATAAGAGAAAAAAACTTTAGTCAACTTTTATCCATGATTTTAAAAATATCCGAAAAACACGCAAAGTTTGTTCATGATAATTACTATCTGATCCTGGTCCAGTGCTGGATACGATGCATAGTGGAAAGGCGTTCAGTTTCAGATTGTCAGATTCGATCCCCTGCCTTGGCAAAGATAGTTTGCAAGGACGAGCTCTCACTTAACACCTCAGCCTGACTGATATCGGCTGAAATAGTGGTAGTGGTTCCACGTGAAAGTTCTAGACGCTAAAAAACGGACGGACGTGGTCGTAAAAAAAACTTCATCCAACAAAACATCTAAGTCTGGGATGTTCGGAGATAATAGAAATGGACTATGTTTAGACATGCTGACTATCATTTCATAGAACCTCTGCGAATTGCAGAAACCGCAGTTATTATTATTATGATTATTATTTTTAAAAAGTTTAGGCACTATTTGTTTTCGACCATTGGTACACCTGTTGGTACCATTTTTTCGATATGGAAATCGGACCAATTAGCACACTGAATCTCCATTGCAACCAGAAACTTAACTTGATAACTCACTAATGTCTTGATTTTTTGACCAAAACGTTGCCAGATTCAAGAATGGCTTAGAACGGTATTTCCCCAAGTTTTCTGACAGCCTTTTGCAAAAATACCTTAAAAGTTCATCCCCTCGTGAAAGTCCTAGACTCACTTCTTTTTAGATATTGACGAGTGCGCTGCAAACACAACAGTCTGTGGCGCCATTGGATCCTCTACCTGTGCTAACAACGATGGGTCATATGTGTGCACATGTAATGCTGGATGGACCGACACCGGAAACTTCTGCACAGGTTTGAAATTCAGCTCAGTTTTAATCGAAAAAAGTGAATGTGGCAAAAATCTTTATAAAAGTGATTCAAATTTGGCGGTTCATATCAAAAGCATTGGGCTTAAAAACATTTGTAAAAAAACGCAATAAAAAAGACAAAAAAAGTATGAAAAGGCGACTGCCAACCCGCACTGACAAACATGAGATTGAAGTCATTTTCTATCGATAATATTTGAATGAAAATTGATTTCAGGTAGCTCATGTAGATACGGAAACCGATTTAGAATAGATTTTTACGGTGGATTTTTTGCAACGCAGTGAAATCAATTAAAATAGCAACAAAATTGATTTAACTTAATAAATCTTTTTCGAAACTTGAGCAAAGTTTTGTACTTAAAAAAATCTCAAGTATTAGGATGCAAGGAATCCCTGTTGAGTTTTGCAAATCTAAGGGTTCCCGCGGTATGAAAAAAGAAACAATGCAACAGTTGTCTGAATGTCATTTTGATTATCAATGTTCTAGGCCCAATATTTTATGCAAATGACATATAATTGAAAAAATCAATTTACAGCAATTCATTTTTGGCGTAGAAAGTTAACTTGTTTTCTATACTACGAGTTTCTTTTCGAGCCACACATCAATTCAAAAAGTCAAAAGAAGAGCAAGTTTTATACTCTGTTTTCTCAATTGTTTGATAGTCGTGAAAATCTGAATATAATTTGTAAAGCGTTTTTATAAAGTGAGTATACAAAAAAGTAGAAAAATGGTTTATATCGATTATCGATTTTATTGCAACTCAAAACTCGTATGAAAAGAAAAATAAAAAAGATATTGAAAAAACCAGGGCGCATCTAGGATTTTCTCGAGAAGGGGGGTGGCGGTTTTTCTGAAAACTTTTTAAAAACAAAATGTTGAAAAAACAGTCCAAAAAAAGGCGTTTTTAGGCACTTTTTGGAAAGTTTTGACCAAAAAATCGCGTTTTTTCGGCGCAAGCTCCCCTCTCAAAATTGGTATATATTGGCGCCTAAGGCGCCTTTAGAAACATTTTAGGATCCCTCACCGAAAATGGATATCTCAAAATAGTACAAGGGGGGACCCTTTGGGTAGGGGGTGGGGGTCAAATCCCTGAGAGACAGGCGCCCGCCCCCCCCCCCCCCCCCCTAAGTCTGCCCCTGGAAAAAACGGATTTCAATCGATTTCAATTGATGATGGAACTTATTCTAAACCCTTATTTTTGTAAAAAAACTAAACCGATTTTAAATCGATGCAAATTGATTTTTTTTAGGTTTTGCTAAATTATCTGTATAAAATTGATTGCGATCCAGTTCTTGTCAGTACGGGAACTTCCAAAATAGGCCGAAAAAAAATCAAAACTACAAAGATTATGATGAGATAAATCAATAGAGCCATATATGTAAAAATTAAAAACACTGACTAACTCGAGATTTTAACTTGCCCGGCTGATCTTAAGAGTAAATTTATCACAGATATCGACGAGTGTGATCAAACTCCCTGCAGTCATACGTGCACCAATGTTGAGGGTTCGTTCACGTGCAGCTGCCCAACTGGATACGAACTAGTTGCCGACAATTTGAACTGTGATGATACTGATGAGTGTGAGGTGGACACCGACAACTGCAACCAGACATGCACAAACACTGTGGGGTCTTTCGAGTGTAGCTGCAATGAGACCTACTTTCTGGAAGACGATGGATATTCTTGTTCTGCAGTAAACTGTCCAGAGAACGAAACATGCTGTAAGTGATTCCAATGTTATAACTAGTTATCCATGAACTAATATTGACCTAATTTCAGTTTTTTAGTCTTAGAGCTCATATATAAACTGATGTATTTTGATGCCAGAAAAAAATTCAGAACAATTTAAGAAGAATTGTTCAGCTTTAATAAACATACTACACTTAGTAGTCCTGATAACCATATACCAGATAATTACAACATTTAAAAACTTTACTTTATATTTTATTTTTATGTGAAAGTTTTAGAAAGTAGCTTTCCTTTTATGCATCATTAAAAAGTATATATGCATATTTTCACTTTGAACCACTGTGTTGTATCTCAGAATACTCAGATAAAACTAAGACCAAGACTTATTTCATATTGTAGATGTAGACATGTGAATAAATAAAGTATATAAAAAGTGTCACGACAAAAAATTTATATCGACTTAAATCTTACATAAATTGACAGAAAGTTTAGCAACAACATGACCGCGGTGTGACAGGTCGTCAACGACCTTGAACTCCAATTGAAACAATTGACTGATATGAGTATGACATAATAGTGTGCACAGATTTAATACTGTACCACATTTCCCCCTCTAGAGGAAATTCTTATGGAAGTTGTGAAATTTAATGAAAGTGATACACAAATTTAGGATTTAAGAAATATAAATTTTTATGAATGAGTAAGTGCACAAAAAGTTTTGACTGAGTTTGAGATGTTGTGAGTTTTAATGACTAAGTGATACAAAGTTAAATCTCGTTTCTCCTCAACGGATTTTCTGAGGACGTCTTTGACGAAAAGGACTGAGGGAAGCGAGTGAACATCCTTGTCAAACCTCCCGAATCATGGCCCGGTGGAGGTCATCTTGATTTTTCCCGGCCGGCATGTCCTGAACAAAACTGACCAGCGTACCCGGAGAGACGACTGCGGGACTGACTCGAGACCTGAGGCTGTACTGGCGGAGAGCTGATAGTTGGTTGAATGCCGGACCGGGCTGAGATGAGTTGGTTGAACGGCGGACCGGGTTGCCAAAGAGTGATGTCAGCTCTTTCCGAGATGAACAAGTACGAGAGGAATTAGAGGCAGACGAGAGGTTTCCGTCCCATCTGAGTCACCCATGGGTGAAGAGATCACTGAAGGACATTGTGCAGAAGCTTCTGGACTTGTTGAGCGCTCTTGAGACTTTGGTAAGGACCAGTCGTCATCTCAAGAGATCGGGATGAGATCTGTGAATGACATGAAAGCAGTCTTTGAAGGTGAGGGTGCCGGGTACTTGATGACCGATGTGTCCAGTGAGTTGTTCCCCAAAGTGGATGAAGAAGCTCTGTTAAGTCAACCACAGGGTTGGTACCACATTGGACCGGGCGGACACATGGAGCGTCGAAGACACTTTTTTAGGTAGATTTTGATTTTTTTTGTGCCTGTGCCGAGTTGACGCGGACATGAAAGCGGTGGGTTAGGGGCGAATTGGTACTAGAACTATCTTAGCGGCTATGCGGGTACGAGTAGGAGGCGTTCTGAGGGGTCTGTTGGCCTCCGGAGAAGTGGACGAAGAAGATGACACTGCTGGTCGTTTCTGCTCCTTCATGACTGGCGTGGCCTGTTTGCCTGAAAAACCTGCATTAGATGACTTAAAACGTACCACAAGGTGGTTCCTTCTTATGATCTTATTCTTGTCAATTATATATGTAGACCCAGTAACTTTGACAATTTTACCCTTAAAGGGCTTAAACAATTCCCAACCAAATTTCATTATGAAAATTTTGCGGAAAATTTCGACCTTTTCCGGATTATTGATATTTAGATGATTCACATTACGTTTAGCTTTTGATTGTTGGAGCAGCTCCGCGGGTAATTGACTCCTGAAATGAAGGGTGGCTGCTGGGAGATTAGATCGAATAAAGTCTGCGAAGACCTGGTTTCGCTCCGTCAGCGTCTCAAGGGTTTTGATGCCTTCGTCATCAGAAATAGTTTTCTCTAAAGCCAGCCATTGGTTAGCTGATTCGACCAGATTCTCGAGAGCCCATTAATGCGGGGTAACAACAACAGAAGAATATTGACCACCGAAATATGGCGACACTGATGGGCTAGATTGCCCCCTTCTTAATCAATTTGATTCTCGGTCGGCTATCACACTGCTCCCGACGCTGCTCCTCCGTAAGTAGATGCCGACACAACTGCGTTTCATTTAAATCAACACGCAAGGATAGACGCTCAGCAGCAATAGATAGTTCCGTATTTGGCGGAGCGACCAAACTGTAACTCAAGTGGCTAAAAGTCTTTAACCGAACTTTTAGTCACACGAATATCCTCAATAATTTTTTGAAGAGTATCTTGGATGTTGGAAAACCAGGACTTAATTCAGCTGCTCGCAGCCGATCTTTTATAGTCTAAATAAAGCGCTCCACCAAACCTTAACCCCGATGATCCCCCACCGGGCAAAAATGCTGACGTATATTTCTTTCCTTGCAAAAAGACTGAACCAACTTATTTTAAAATCTCGAATACTGGTCTGTCTTGATAGATATAGGGATACTATGTTGCTGGATAAACTATTTTAAAAATTTAATAACCAATTACACCCCAGTGATCATAGCTGATGGAAACTTAGAGTATTGCTCGATAGCGATGAAAAGTTGTATTTGGTTACCTGAATGATCTGAAAGAGAATCAGCATAATCTAACTGGAGTTCCTCATTCGGGTCTAACAATTATGGTAAAGGCTGGGATGAATTCAATGAGATGTAAGCCATTGGGTTTCTTGCGAAATATAGTACACTGAGGGCAAACTATAAACAATTGGATAATGTTGTGATACATTCGACTTCAATACTCACTTGGTATCCACTTCAATACTCACTTGGTACCCCCTCCAATACCCACTTGGTAATCACTCCAACAGCCACTTGGCACCCACTCCAATACCTACTTGGTATCCACTTCAATACTCACTTGTTACCCAGTCCAATTCCCACTTGGTAATCACTCCAACAGTCACTTGGCACCCACTCCAATAACCACTTGGTAATCACTCCAACAGTCACTTGGCACCCACTCCAATACCTACTTGGTATCCACTTCAATACTCACTTGTTACCCAGTCCAAGTCCCACTTGGTAATCACTCCAACAGTCACTTGGCACCCACTCCAATAACCACTTGGTAATCACTCCAACAGTCACTTGGCACCCACTCCAATACCTACTTGGTATCCACTTCAATACTCACTTGTTACCCAGTCCAATTCCCACTTGGTAATCACTCCAACAGTCACTTGGCACCCACACCAATACCCACTTGGTATCCACTATCAATCACAATGCACTCACAATGCATTCAATCAATCAATCAATCACAATGCACTCATCCACCACTGCTGAGCACTGCTAGAACGATTTCAGATATGCGGCAATCTGGCTGAATCCTTCGTAGTCATTCTAAATCAGGGCCCGTTTTATCAACAAGTCAAAGATCCTCACTAGACCCGACAGCGATTTCCGGTCTGGAGCGACAAGTGATGATTTGATATCCAAACTACGGACTTTCTTTTGCGGTCAAATTGCTGGACCAGACTTTCGCAACCTACGCGAACAAAATTTAGCTATGAGGCGGGAATATTGACACTTCAGCGCCACTGCTCTTTACGCCGACTATTTCCACCTCGGGCGGACTGCGCCTGATCGTGCCTTTTGGCTCGATCGATTCGCTGAAAATCAAGGACAGTTGAGGGGGACAATATGGTTAAGCAGCCGCTCAAAGCTGTCGCCACTCGGTTGATCCATTAGACTCTGAAAAAACATGAGAACATTGAACACAATTCTCCAATAGAATAAGTTACCAGAACCATTAACTAAATAGGCAGAAAAGATATAGTTGAAAAGGTCAGCAAAATGAAAGCTGAGGCTAGTGCAAATTTAATATTCCAGATTGGCATGTGATACCGGAAACATGCTGAGAAAGTGGCATTTGTGAATAAATCAAATACGCTGAACTGCGATTGGTTAATAGGATCTGCATAAACTAATTCACCCTCTTGCGATGATTCAAACCAAGTATAGCTGCGCTCATGAAACAAAACACCAGGTGCAATCCTCGGACCTTTTGCCCCATTTTCCTCGTTGATGTCATCTACCCTGCGAACTGCTGAAGCATCCCGCGCGAGGCGGTTGGCAGTCGCATGTGCATCCTTGCTAGTACTGAAAGCTTCCGGCTTCGAGGTCGGATCGTCATGAATGACTCCTGACGGTTTTAACCATTCTCGGGGGTTGCATTGCTCCCGCAACGTGATGGCAAAATTAAATTGTCCGATCGATGAATCCTCGCTGCTTCGCGGGTCAAACGTCCGCTTGTGCCAGAATACGGCTGCACCTGGCAGGTCAGTCGGGTCGTTTAAGACCGGGACTGCTAGTTGTATCTCAGAAGACTCAGATAAAACTAAAAACCAAGACTTAGTTCATCTTGTAGGTTTAGATATGTAGACAAAAAGTATAAAAATAGCGTCATGACGAAGAAATTTATGTCGACATATGTTGGTTGATAGTGTATAGAAAGTTAAGCACCAACTTGACCGCGGTGTGACAGGTCGTCAACGACCTTGAACTGTACCACGCACTGCAGATTCAATGGAAGAAAACAAAGCAGATGTAAAGCTTCGTCAACCAATTTATTCGGTGGTTTTTTACTGTACCACACACTGCAGATTCATCAGAAGAAAACAAAGCAGATGTAAAGTTTCGTCAACCAATTTATTCGGTGGTTTTTTTTCTGGAAAAAATCTTAAATGTCAAAAAAACCGAAAAATTTCGCTAGGTTTGACATCCCTTTCAACCAGGTGCGGATTTAGGATTTTCTCGAAAGGGGTAGATTTTCAAAAAATTTTCGAAAACTTTGTCGAATTTTTTATAGATCGACCGATTTGAATTTCTGAGTTCACCCAGACTGCTATAAAGACCATTTTTTGACCAAAAATGATTTTTTTGTACTATTATTTCAATATCAAATATTGCTAAGAAAG